CCTCCTTTGTAATATTTTTATACTTTATTATTGCCACTATATCTTATGTTTTTATATTTTCTTCATTAAAATTTTATTGGATGATAAATAATGATATTTTTTTATTTATTATAATTTTATTAATAAAAATGTATTACCAATCTATGTCATTTAATGCAATCTAGTCCAAATTCTAAAAGCATTGTCACAATTTATATCATTAGTTATTTTTAATAGACATCTATTTAAATACGTGTTACCAATGGCTAAACTTATAGATTTATGTAAAGCACAATGAATTAGGCCTTGTGCTCAAAACAATATGTTCTTAGGTTGTAGACAATTGCTATAATTTAAATAGTAGCAATAAAAGAATATTTATATCAATTATTAGTTGGATAGCCAAGGAAATTGTATTTAATGTAGATAAAGAATTTGATTACTTTTTAAAATAGAAATTTGATAAATTAATGCAATGACTATTAATTAGTACATTTTTTGGCACAATATTTAATATATATACTTTAAGCTTTGGATATAGAATTTGTAGTTTTAAATGCCAAAATAGACATATTTGCAAGATTGATTTTATGAATACAATCACTTTATTGTATTGTTGAACATGCTTTAATAATAAAATCATTTGCCAATAATTCATTAACTAATACATTGGTAATTTAATATGTAATTATCATGTGTGTTTGCTTATAAAAATTAGAATTATCTTTAGTCAAAAAAAAATTATCTAAAATCTTATATGAAGGTGTTAAATCAAGCTGCAAAATCTTGAAAGTATGTAATTTTTTAATATACAAATATTTTTTAATTGTGAACAATATTTTTGTTGCAATAAACATTATTAATGTTTGAAATAGATCTAAGGATTATAAAAGATAATCCAAGTTGTTGTCTAAGAAATGAATTATAAAGAACTAAAAGATCAATATATTCTTATGTCACTAAAAAAGAATAAATAATCACTCAAAGATGGTATAATATTAAATTATAATGGTTATTGCCAAAAATAAGAAAATTAGAGAGTCTTGAGATAAGACTAAGAATTTAAAAGACATTGAAAAGAGTGAAGAAGGCTTCACTCTTGCTTCTATATGTACTATCTAATTAGGATCTAGGTTGCAACATTTTATGTGATCTCCAACATGTGTCTAACTTACAAGACAAGTTTCTTACATATGTACTATATGGCCAACTTATTGGCCAAGTTTCCAACCTACCAATCAACAACAAACATATATAAAGTCAAATCTATGTCAATAAAGCTTCTAAGAAGTTTCTTCACAAGATATTATCAAATATACCTATATTTATTTTCTACCTAATACTTCTTATCTAGATAATTTGTATATGTTTGTGACATGTGTTAACATGATAGTTGGTATAATGCATGACTGTTAAATTATCACCAATCTAAATAATAGAAAATATTAAAAAAAAATTATATAATTTTTTCACTAATAAATTACAATTATATCAATATGACAAATAATTTGATATAAAAAAAGACATGTTGTGGATACAATAAAAAAAGATCTATCATTTTTTTCAAAGTTTATATTAGAAGTAGGTATGATATTCAAATCCTAAATTAAAAGTACACATTATAGGCAAATTTTATAGTAACTTGCTTGAATTAACAACTCTAAAAAAAATTAAATCTTTTTTGAAACTTCTCTTAAACATACTTGCTCTTAGTAAAAAATTTGTTAATTAATTTTTCAATGAGATTCAAAGACTCTTTGCTTTAGAACTTTATTATTATTTTAATGTATACTGTAACTTGATATAAACTCAACTTTTGTATTTTTTTTTCTTTGTATCTTAATTTTTAATGAAAATTTTATTATTTCTTATTGTGTTGAAATTGCCTCAAAAAAATTAACTTCCATAAAATCAACAAACTAACTTTTGTTGCTTTTTTAATCTATTTAAGAAAAAAAATATAATTGTTTCAATAATTTGAAGTGAAATTTGTGTTCAAAGATATAAACTTTTAAAACAAAATCACTACCAAAGTCTTCAAAGATTAAATTATTTTCACTCTGAATTTATTCAACACAAAAAAATAAAAATAAAAATAAAAATAAAAATAAAAACTGATAATCTTATTTATGATTTTAATGCATCATTTTAAAATATTTTATACATAAAATATATTTTATTTAAAGTGATTTAGCAACTACATGGAATACAAATCTATTATCTATTATTAAATTTTTCCAAAATAGTCCAATTTCATTACCTATAAAGCCTATAAATTGCACTTATAATGTTCAAATTAAAAATAAGAATGATTCAAAAAAACCAAAAGAATTAAAAAAATCAATGAAGGTATTTATTATCAATGTCATATTGTAAATTTCATAATTGTAGATTTGATCTTAAATAATAAAATCTAAAAATATTAAAATACAATCTACTATTAAAGACTTTGTAAAAATAATGTTACTTATTTTTAGATCCTATCTTATTCTAAAATCAAAGATACTTTGTTTGCAAGGTAATTGGATCCAAATTACATCAACTTGCTAATGCAATCTTAGTCAATTCCAAATTGAGCCCTAAGTTCGTTTGCAATAATTAAAAATCAATCCTTCTTTGTAGTTTCAATCTCAAAATTTGAATTACATTATTTTATAATGTTTTGGTACACTAAGCTTATTTATTCTTAATTTTATTGCAAACTAAATTTTCTAAGTTGACAAATGCTTTTAAGAACACAAGAGCAAATATTTTTATATTTTTAATTTTTTTTCTTTTAAATAAATATGTATATTTTTTAAAAAAATGTTATTTTTAATATGGTACTCTTTATTACTATCTTAGAAGGAAAATTGGATTTTAAAATTTTATTTTATTATTTTTTGCAAGAGAAAATAATTCACAATTGCTACAATATAATTATTTTTATTTTTATTTTAAAAAAAGATTTATCATTTCTATAAACTTTAGCAAATTGATCCTTGATAAAACTTTTAGAATTGTATAATAATGAAAAAAGACAGTGAGAAGCAAACGTGCTTGCAACCTGATAAAATTCATTAAAAATAGCTTAGTTGTAATAGAAAATTTTCAAGATAGCTTCTTGAATTTTTTTCTAATTTTATACCATAATAAGAATTCTAAATCTCAAGATCAGATTGGTCACAATAATAAGGTGACATGATAATATGGACAATTTCAAAAAGAGAAGGGAGGTGTTCTAAGCCTAATGTTGCACAACTGTGCGATTACAAAAAAGAAATTGATAAAAACAAAGCAGATTGTATAGAGCGATTTGGTAATATAGCTTGATACCACTAATTTTGATAATATAAGAAAATAAATGTAACCAAAAAAATAACCATATAATAATTAGAGCATAAAACCACCTCTACATAGACAAATTTTCATTAAAAAAAATCTAAACTTGTAAAAAAAATAACATTTTAATTCTATAACATAATATCATGATAGAATTTATATTTTAATACACCAAAAAATTAATAAATATTACTATATATATATATATATACTAAACTAATCAATAATAGTCTTAACAAGCTTTTGTAAAGATGTAAGTTGTATTCAAATAATATTAAAACTTGCTATGTTCAAATAATGACATGTTTTAATTTTGTATACCAAATCACTTATTGTAAACAAAATTACCATTTTTTCTACATTGCAAAATTAGAAACACGTTTTTCTAACAATTCAACATGTGCTTGAACATATATATTATATCAACTTGCAAACAAATCAATCAAACCAGCTTCACAAAAAATGGAATAGTTAGTAACAATGTATTCATTAACCATAAAGGTAACCTTGGAAATTTGCACAAAACATCTCAATCTTGCAGGAATTGGCACAACTTTCTAAGTAGGAAGAGTATGTGCGAGTTGAAACGGCGAAGGCCAGTTTCAGTTCACTTCGTTTGATGTATAGTAGCTGAACTTCACAGGACTTAGGCAACGGAAAACTCAGCATGAAATAGTATGTTTAAATGGGGCCCCAACTTCTCTTTTTAGCTGAGGATGAAAAAAGAGCTTATGTAGCAGCAGAACCTGTCAAAAAAACAGGTTCAGAAACCACGCTGAAATCATTGAACTGAACCCACTGTTGCTGGCCATTCAGTTTCTGTTACTGAGTGCTGGTGGGCTCAGGCTGTCGGATTCCGTGCTGGAAAAATGAGCTTGTACGAAGAGTGAGTTTCATTTGCAAGTTTTCTCTCAAAAGTTCCTCATCCTCATCTACTACCTGCACGAATTCATGAGTGAAAGAGTGGCCTGGCAAGTTGACTTCTAAGGATCTTGCTGCATGGCATAGAGATCTGAAGCTACTCAAGAATAATATATTCAATCCTACCGGCAATGTAACGCTACCAAAGATTGACGAGTGGAATAACCTGAAGTGATTCACAGGAATGTTAACAGACCAAAACAACGTTCGAATTTAAGTATTGATGCATGCCCTCCGATAATAACACTTGTCTGCTCTACATGCACAATAATTGAATAAATACACGTCAACTTAGGTTAGCACGTTTCTTTACAGATGTAGTTGGAGAAGACTTTTCGTAGACTGTGTCAGCTGAAGAATTGCCACCTGCGGCCTCCACAACCTCAATTTGATCATCTAACCACGCATCGAGTGTCATTAAGATCTAGGTTCTAATTTGGCATGACTAATCCAGATGAATATCACCAATCTCAAAATGAACTTAAAGTGGTATATGCTAGGGATCCTTACCAACTGGGGAACGGAAATTCCTGCCGGAAGGCTTTTGTCGTGCTAACGATCCTCGTGTAACAAGTCTATTTTGTCATTACTACTGTAACATGGCTTTCGGCATAGTGTAGAATCTTAAAGCAACCGTTAAATCCGTACCCATTAAAAAGGTGCTGAACTGCAAGGCAACATTAAACTTTTCGTAGAATTTCACAAATTCCAGCAAGTCTTTGGTCGATTTTGTAACGGACATGATTCTCGTTGTTAAAGAACGTTATACACATTGGATATGCAAAATGAAAAAGAAATAACAAACTTTAAGTATCAAAATTTGAATACATGGTGCTCATCCACATTCCCACTGACGAATTACTCTGAATCGTCATTTTACTTTTTAAGTAGAGCAGCATGGAATTTGGGCCCTTGGAGCTGGATTAGTTTCGCCCAGAAGCCTCCAACATGGGAAATAATTTCAAATGATGCTCCTAAGGTCGAACACTATGCAAAATGCCCTACTTCAGGATGCAATAGAACAAGTCAATCTGCACCTCTTCGCTAAACCAGCGCCTGCTGGAAACCGCCCAAGGACATGTAAGAGATCAGAAAAATGTTCAATCACAGAGCCCGTCCAGCACGGTGTGAAAGTCACAAATTTGGTGTCTGCATCAGATGTTACGAATGAAATGACCATACAATTGTTACAGCCATGGGGTAGCTACGCAGAGAGGTGTACAGAAATCCCATCCCGCATCTTCCCAAGCATCATCTGTTTCACTGGACAGCGAGCTGCACAAGCAATATCTGGAAAGGTCAGCAAGCGATAGACGATAACAGAATTACTGCTAGTGACCACTTCAGTGCAAACATCTTCGCCCATTTCCAGGCATAAAACTTGTAAATGAACAGAGAATGAACAAGTTCCCCATACGAGCACTGCGATAGTTGCATCCCACCAGGTAAGGGTCCATCTTATTACAATCGATAGTAGCACAACCATTGATCAGTGAATGGTGGTTAGGAACAGTTTCTATCAACAACCCCTTGATAGAAAATGCTCGTATGAGGGATTTGAACATCCGCCTTCTAAGATATGTTTGGCCTTTAACATTCTGAAAGTGAATATGATTCGTCGTGCATAGTGTAAGGATTGCCAAATACACCACGTGAAGGTGGTTGCAAGAACAAAATGCACACACAGCCTTGATATTTGTGTGAAGTGATTCTTCATCCTACAAGGACAGCAAGGACCTATAGTAAAGCAGTAATTCAGGTATAGAGGAAAGCCTAATAAAAGCATATTAGTTCATTTGATGTCTTTGACAGACTCCAACGGCAGGTTACAGTGAAATACCGGAAATCTCAAGCAACCTCTCCTTTTGAGCGTCGCTTAAATCGCCCTCAAGTGAAATGGTCATTTGAAGCCCATCAGGGATAGTTCCATCTGCATGCGCCCCACCCCCCAGCGCGCGCACGCACACACGCACATATTTACACATCCCGCATAAGTTCAAGTATGCACATCTATACCACTCGTTCTTATGTCTGCAAACAATTTTAGGATTTTCCCCGTTATGTGTGAGGAGCGGCATATCATTCAATTTACGAAATGACTGATTTCAAATATAACTACAAACCATTCTAAAACCCTGTCACGAAAATTGGAGTCCTCAACTTGTCTCGAAGAGGATGTTATCATAAGTTAACGACTTAATAAAGGATTCCTAAAGAATCTTACGGAGGTCTTTTTCGCTGACTTCTTTGACAGTAACTGAAACGCGACGAAGAGGCCATTTCTTCCTCTCTGCAAACTGCCCATTGATCCCTGGTGAGACTACGGTAAAGTTTGCATCGAGGGCTCTGACAACGGAGAACAACAGATTGAGAGCACAAGTACGATACGTAACAAACAAAGAAGAAAAATACAACTTCACTTGAACATTCTGTCAGCATTTAGTAAACTAGTGCTTAATGAAGAAAATAGTTGCAGAGCCTAATTTGTAACTTTAACAAAATCACCAACATTTATCGTCGTGATTGATAGACGATTTTACTTACCAAACGAATTGTGAGCGAGGAGCACATTGCTAGACCAGCAAACGCATAATCCTTTGGCCTACAAGTAAATTACATCAAACACTGACATCAAAATCTTACGACCAGTTTACGACAACAAGGGGTTTTCCTACATTTGAAAGAGAAAAATCTGAGTCACTGATCCTCTGTAATCTTTAGGTGATGAAGGAACTTTAATAGTATATTAAGAGGGGTAAACATACTCAGGAGCTGTGCCACCAGCTCCCCATGCTTCGCCAAGATCTCCCCTGAATGTGTGAGGACCTGATGTAATGACATGCTTGTATGGCTCTCCATTCTAGAAACAAATTCCACCAAATATGGAGGGGGGGTTAAGAAGACCGTCTGCGCATTCTGCCCGAGTTTCTATACCTGGACCCCGGAAAAGTTTTGAGGCCGTGTGATAAGTGCAGAAGGGTTCTTGATCACAAGTAACGCTCAGACTTATGGCTTTAGCCAACTACCATTGTCAAGAGCGAGTGAGCAGACAGTAACGACGGGGCATGACAGAGCAACCATACCTCAAATTCACACAATGCCATACCAACATTTCAATCACACGTTCAAAGAAATTATAAAATTATGAAAAAATAAACCAGAAAAAAGAAGATGAAGACTGAGTACTGAGCAAATGGGGCTCACAGGATCTTCGGTCGCCACAACAGTGTGTAGAGAACAGGAAGAGACGCGCAAAAAACGTGAGCAAGTCCGAAGTCTTTGAACCTTGCTATGCAATCCCGCGGAAAGCGTCGGCATGAGAAAAATCCTCGGTCGTACCAAGGCGGCTGCCATTGCACCTGATTGTTGAATGAAATCTAAGAAAGACACCGCTGATAAGTAAAATTACTTCGAATCACCCAACATTCCCCGTAGCAACAACCAGAGCGGGTCACCAAGTCAAACCGCCGTCCATAACCCGTATCATCACTCGATGCACTTTTTTTCTCGAATTCCTGGAAATTCACTCCAAGCGTTGCACAATCGATTCACGTGCAGAACGCAATCCTGCTCATTGTCGCCCAAAAAAATACCAGCTAACCTCAACATGGGTAGGGCAAGTGCTTGAAAGGATGCACTGTAAGCAGCTACTCAACGTCATGTGCTACACATTCTCCCACATCAGTCGTTGTCTCGAAGACCAATTCATCGAGATAAGATGCGAAAGATTGCATCTTTTTCGGAAACACAAGGTCAGTACGATCTCTAGAAGCAAGAATTGCTGCACCCACCTGCTGAATTTGTCACAGCTTCTGTGGCCCTCGGCAATCCGGTTGCACGCAGCAAGACGGAAGCAGAGGCATTGGTTACAGCTCCTGAGCATGTTTACCCCTCTGTGAACATAAAAACGTTGAGCAATCCATCGAGGCCATGGAGGGATGACAGTCATCGCATGGATGAATACATCCTCTGTTCGTCTCTGTAATGAAGAGTTATATAGTTTGGGGTTGAAAATTAAGTTCTAATAGGAGCTATCATGTACTACACCAAATTGTGTATGTAACCACTTTGGAGATTATCTTAGCATTGAAGCCCTTTGTTTTGGGAGTACCCTATTGTGATTTGTCATTAAGGTGTAATAAAGAGTAATGCAATTTAGAAGTGCATGTAGATGGGTGCATACACATAGACATATATGTCTTATTTTAATTTTTAAAATATTTTACTCTATTCTATTTTAAATTGTAAAATATAAATTTTAATATTCAAATATTTCATGATAAATAATAATTTATGAGAGTCCATAATATTTATTGTTGCATACTAAGGCGTTGTTTTGTTAGGATTTAGCTTGCAATAAAGAGACAGTTAATTTTCCATAGAAAAATATTGATTTTGAGTAGATAAAGCCCTAAGATAGAAATTATTTGTCCTTGAGATTTGCTCACTATCATAGAAAAATACAAGTTTTACTAGTAATTATATGTGTCATGGTTTGAATAAAAGCTTGATGTTTGAAGGTTCTTAGTTAATTTGCAGAAGAAAAAAATTGTTGCTTTCTTTGGGCTCCATTTGCAATTTTGATAGTTATTATATGTGGCATAAAAACTTTTACAATAATTAGTTGTAAAAGGAGTTCTATTTAATTTATATTAAGTTAATGGTTGCAATTTTTTTTTAAAGTAGAAATAATAAAACTTAAAATTTAAAATCTCTTGTAACAAAAAAAAAAATATATATATATATATATATATATATATATTATTCACGGTGGATCTAAAAAAACTATATGTTAATTCTTTTACTTAATTTTTTTTCCACACAATTATTTTTAATTTTATTCATCCTACATATATTCTATAAACTTTTTTAAAGTTTTTTGATTTTTTTCTTAATCCATCAAAATGTGAGTATTTATCCACCGAAGATATTATTTTATAAACTTTGAAATATATTTAAAGATATTTTACAATTCCAACATCTAATCAAGAGTAATTCATTTTAAAGTCACATATGTGATTGATAATAAATTATATTTGCATGAGCTAGCAAGCTTCCTTTTCTTTCTCAAAGTATATCCATTCCAACTTCATTTTAACATTCTAATTTTTTTGCCAAGTCTTTCTTTTTATAACTAACTTTCTTAATCATTGCTTTTATTTTTGCATTTAATTGATCTTGCTTTATGACAACATTTGCAAGGTTTTAAAACAATATAGATTTCTTTCAAGCTATCCAAGCCAATTTTGCCTAGCATATGTTTTTTAATCATAAAATGTCAACTTCTTGAGCTCATAGTTGCTACAACAAAATGTTTTGTTTTACACTTGTTGTGTAGTAAAATACGCATATAGCCTTGAACCAACATCAACTCATGTTGCAACCTATCCAATTTGAAATATTTTCATCATAGCTAGGCTTAATTATAGTTTTTAATTCCAAAAACTTTTCCCAATTTTTTCTAAGTTTCTTAAATTCTTCTAAGCAACAAACTTTAATTCAATGGATTTATAGTACTTTTCTTCTTCTTCTTTTTTGTCTTTTATTTTCTAATTGTGATTAATATCATAGAACAAACAATTACAAGAATTTATACTATCAAAAATTCAATCATAATAATTTATATAATTATAATTTTTACTTCTATATTTGGTATTAAATTAAAATATTTATTTCTACAATCCTATGGTCCATTTTTATTATATATATATATATATTATTTCATAATTATTGCTATAATCTAGAATATATATTTCTTTTGTATTGTAATAGAGACAATAAGGCATTAAGATTTAGTTGTATGTATATTCTAAACTTGGCCAAAAAATATTATATTCTAATTTTTTTTTCTAACAAAAAAAAAAGCTAATATTTTTACTTGAATTATTTGATTTTATTATTATATATTTTCTAAATTTATAACAAACTTTGATTTCAATTTTATTCTACTTTTACAATGTAAAATAAATATCAATATAATATTTTTATATCTAAAAAATTTCTAGAATATTTAGTTGTGTGAAAAAAAAAAATCTTTTCTAACTCAAATCTCTTAATTTTCAATTTTTCTTCTCTACTTATACAAATTACTAATCTTAATCTTGTCCATTTTATTTTAAAAAATTAATCTAAAGCCAAATTTTATAAATATATCTATATTTTTTTTATTTACTTCTATTTAAAATTAAAAATATACATTAAAAAAATAGAAGAAAAGAAAGAATTTTCTTATTATATTACAATAAGCAATTGCATTTGCAACAATTACTACCTTTCTAATTTCGATACAAATTTATATCCTAATTAATACCTTGGTTGATGCTTTAAAGTCATCGAACTAATGTCCTAAAATATTCTAGTTGATATCATATAATTTTCTAATATATGACTTAAAATATTTAATTTAATGCCTTAAAATCTTTTGAATTATATCTATGAAGATAAAATTTACTCCTTAAACTAAACTATAAGATAGACTCAATTGATTTTTTTTGTAATTAGTAATATAGTTAAGAAGTATAATTAAAGATAAAAGAAAGAAAGAAAGAAAGAAAAAGAAAATTAAGATTCAAAAATTAAAAATAAATAAAAAAATAAATTTTTTGGAGTTACTATAAATTATGAGTTTTCAATATTTAATATGTAAATAGAAAAGATAGTTTTAGATATCGGTCTTACATTTTTAAATAAAAATTCTTAAAAAAATATATATATATATATATATAAAAACTAAATCGACTAGAATAATTACTTATTAGACTTATTAAAATTTGAATCTTAAGATTTTTTATCTTGAAAAACTCTTGTCACTTAAAGCACCTTCTAACTTCTAATTAATATTTAGAAAAATAACTAAGCCTTATAATATAATAATTTTTTATTTTAAAAATATTAAAATATTATTTATAAAAAATCCACCAATTAAGATAAAATTATAATCTTACCATGCCTATAAGGACTTGAGAATTTGTATATAATAAATAAAAATTCAAATTATAATAATAACAAATATACTTCATAGAAATATTAGTTTAAAAAAATATATGTATATATATTATTAAAAAACCAAGAAAAAAGAAAATAATAAATATAAGATCTAAAGAATTAGATTCACTATAATCAAATAAAAAATTACTGTAGGATCATGAATCAAGACTATAGTATACAAAAAGCCCTAATAAGCTTAATAATGATATCAATTTTACTTTTATGTTTATTAGCCTCTAAAAAGACCTCATGGTAGCTTCTTTAAAACCACAAAATCTATTGTTAAGCATCCAAATTGAAAATTGCTCTAAAAAAACTTCTTAAAAGAAAGAAACTTATGAAATAAAATACAATAATAATTAAAACTCTCTAAAAGAATGTAAAGATATAATCCACATCTATAAAGATTTTGTGATGTTTTTTAAAAAACTTACTCTCTATATAATATTTTTTCAACTACTTGAATTTACTTCTAATTATTTAACTAATATATTTATTTTTTTAATTCACTTAAAAACCTTATTAAATTCTAAAGATGCAACAAATATCTTTAAAGATATTATAGTAGCAAATTTGAGATTTATTAAGTTGTTTTAGCTTAATATCAACATTATGCAATAAATATCTTCAAAGATTATTATAAAAAAATTTATAATAAAATATTTTTCATTTTTAAAATATCAATAAATAAAAATAAATTTATTAATTCATATAATAAGCTTTTTAAGCTTATAGATATTGACATAATCCTTTTATAGATAAAAACTTATCAATAAATTTATAATCTTATTCAACTTTAAAAATCTAATGGATTAAATTTATTTTAAAAATAAATATTTTAAAATTTAACTAGCAAACTTGTTAAGTCTAATAAATCTCACAATTTAAATATTTTCAAAGAAGAAAATTTTATATATTTATTTATAAAACTTTTTAAGCTTAAGAAACTTAATAAATTAAGTACCTTTAAAGAAAAAAGTTTTTTCAATTTATTTGTCAAGCTTGTTATTCTTAAACAATATGATGAATAATATTTGTTTAAAAAAAATATATTTGCTTATTTACATGAAAAGCCTAGTAAACTTGAACAATATGCTAAATGAGGTTCATTTAGAAAAGATAGATTTGTCAATTTATTTTGCAATCTTGTTAAGCTTTAATAAATAGATATATTTATCATTTTTAAAGAAGAAAGATTAGCCAATTTTTTTTGGAAGCTAATTAAATTGGAACAGCTCAAAAGAATAATGTCCTTAAAGTAGAAAGATTTCCAAATTTTTTTGACAAGCTAGTTAAATTTGAACAATCAAACACATAAATTATCTCTAAAAAAATTGATTTATTTTTTAGATGAACAATATAATAAATAAAATTTATTTAGAATAATAATAATAATAATAGTTTGTCTAATAATCTTGATAAGCTTAAACAATCAAATAAGTTAAGTATCTCTAAAGAAGAAAGATTTATCAATTCATTCGGCAGGATTATTAGGCTTGAAAAATCTAATAAAATAAGTATTTTCATAGAAAAAAGATTTGCTAATTTATTTAGAAAATTCATAATGTTTGAAAAACTTAATAAACTAAGTATTTCTAAATAAAGAAATCATCGATTTATTTTGCAAGTTTTTTTAGCTTAAAAAATTAGATAAAGAAAATATCTTTTTTAAAAAAATTCCAAATTCATTTGGCAAGCATATGGCAAGCTTGAATATTTTAATTTTTAGAATATCTTTAAAAAAAAAATGACAATTTTTTTGACAAGCTTAATTAGATTAAACAACCAAATAAAATTATATATGTATATATTTGAAAAAAAATAATTTGAATCTGCCTTAGGAAGTGTATGATAATTTTCAATTGCAACACCACTAAATCAATTAATACAAAAGTGAATCTGTATCATGATTTTATCTCCTTTAAATTTACAGTCTTTTAAAATAATATTTTCTTATTGTATACCATCCTAATCAAGAGGAAAACCAATGCTAAGCATGACATGCATGGAATTTATGTATATATATATATATATATATATATATAATGTAATGTAATGTTTATTTTCCCGTGTGTCCGGTGGAGCAGCCATGTCGAGATGTCCCTCGACGACGACACCCTAAAGTGGCGATGAATGGCGAGGTAGCTTGCTCCGGTGGAGATGACCCCGCCAGCCATCACCGCGGAAAAGTCTGTGGCTGCATCAGGCGCTTCGTCGTCGCCTCCCCAATTTCGCTTTTGCCTGCTCTCTCTCAGATTGCTCGTTTCTCCGTCATGTGAATAGAATTGTTTATTTGGGTCCCCATTGTCTACGATTTCTGACTGAAGCGGAGGTTTTAACGACAGAAACATTGCCTCTGGGTAGGTCACATGGGGCCTGAGTTTGAATCCAGGCTCTGAGAGTTGGAGGCCTGGACGTTGAGTTCGGGATTTGGTTGTGTGGTCTCGTCGTGCAAGAGTCTGCGGCCTTGGTATGAATTTGACGATCAAGAGTTAGAGAGGGTTTTATAGGTCTTGGTGATGACGCCTCTTCATGAAACCCAATAGAATGTAGCAACTTTTGCTCAGTTTTTTGAGCCACGCGGACTCGTATAGATTTATTTTATTTTATTTTATTTTTCCTTTTGACGTCAATAAAATTGCTCGTTTGTATGGTCTCTTAGCGCAGTTTGAGAGCACGTTTAATTTTGCGGAATTGTGAGACGTTGGCATTGGGTTTTGTACTGGGTTGTGTGTCGTGTGTGGGTTGTGGGGTTTGAATTTGAAGTAGATGAGTTGTTTTGACTGAATTTGTGAATTGGTTTGGAAGTGAGGAGGCAATATGGAGTTAAGCACAATTAAAATGACAATCATAAGGGCTGCACCGCCGTTAGCAAGAGGGAGTATAGTGCGGAAAGCTGATGCTTACCCATGCTTTCGCTCTCTGCCTCACGCCGGGTCCCTCCTTGTCTCTGCTAGATTTCCCTCTGGTTTGTTAGGACCTGAATCTCATGGTAGATCATCGCAAAGGAGATCTAATTTTGTTGCGGAGAGTACTGATAAATCATTCAGAAGCTCAAATTCTTTCAGATCTTATCACTGTAGCTCGATAGATGAAACCTTCTTCAAGCTAAGATTTGGCTTGAGAAATGGTGGCATCAGCAGCGCCGGTGGAAGAAGGCATGGAATTAGGGTTCCTAGATCAACAGAGAATGGAGGAGGGGAGAAAGGGGGAGGCGAATCTACATCTACAGCGACTGAGGAATTGGAGAAAGAGAAAGACCCCAACTCCTCTGATGCATCAACTACTCCTTCCACTCTCCAACCTGTACGTGTATCATTTGTATCCCATTTCTGTTTCCTTCAACTCACAATTTTTGGTTGCGATCGATTAGTTTCAATCCTATCGTGTGTTCGTGGGCTCACTGTATATGGCAGGATTACTTTCATATCCTTCGTTCTCTTCTTCTGCTATGGATACGATCAAAGAGTCCTAAAGACGATAGATCTAGTCACGATGTTGAGCTGTACTCTAGCTGTCTGATTGGAGACTGAATCATGGTCGAATGACGTGACGAGATGGTTGTTGCTTATGTTCAAGTTCCACTGAAGTATTGAAAACCATCTAGTGTTTTTTCGTTTTTAATAGACCTGATTTTTTTGTATTTTAGGTTTCATTTGGAAAAAATACTTTATTTCATGGGTTTAGCAGTAGTACCCTTTCTGAGTGATGTTATTCGCAGGCAGACGATTCATCTCAAACTGTACCAGTCAATGTGCAATTAGACGCGTTTCGGTTAGTGGAGTTGATTGGCCCAGAGAAAGTTGATCCAGAGGATGTGAAAGTTTTTAAGGAGAAATTGTGTGGTTATACAACATACTGGATGACCGGGCAAGAACCCTTCGGAGATTTAGGTGAAGGTGTGCTTCTTCTTGGAAATTTGAGAGGGAAACGCGAAGATGTTTTTGCTAAGTTGACGAAGGGTGTGCGCGAGTTATTCGGCTCAAAATATGATCTATTTATGGTGGAGGAGCCCAATGCTGAAGGAGAGGATCCCAGGGGTGGACCTAGAGTCAGCTTCGTCTTGCTCAGGAAGGAGGTCTCGGATCCAGGTCCGACAACACTGTGGCAATACGTTATAGCTGCAATATTGTGTGCTCTCACGGCAGGTTCCTGCCTTGAGCTCGGCATTGCATCCCAGGCAAGTCTTTTGGCTTGAACTAACTTAGAGTGCCGCGGCCGTTGTGCATGTCTCAGACTTCGTTCATAGGAATGCAGCAAAATACTCTCTGCGAAATGCAAGTTGAATCCAATGCTTCCATTTTGTAAACGTAGCAGTTCTGCGGCAACTTTTACAACTAATGCTAGAATCTGTGGATATTTATTATATTGTCCGTATAGTCGTACGTCTTTTTAGTTACAGTAGTAGGCCTTAATAATTGCCTACATATTGTATTGTGGCAACTCGTACATTTAAGAATGTTGTCGTATCTGCTGATAGTTGATGAAATGATGGGCTATGCAGTTATCGAGGCTTCCACCAAACGTTGTTCAGTATTTCACGAATCCAGAATCGATAGAACCTCCTGATCTGCAAGTGCTGGTGCCATTTGTAGACGCTGCGCTTCCTCTTGCATACGGGGTTTTTGGGGTTCAGGTTTTTCATGTATGTGCAATAATCCATCTACCCCTTCACATTTCAAGTTGTTCATAGTTCTAATTTCTCGAGTCTTACACTAGTTGTGTCCTTCATTGCAGAGGTATTTAGTTTTCTTTGAGGTTCTGACATGGCATTTGATCTCACTTGTAATTTTTGCGATTCAAGTTGTGATTTCTCTAGCTGTATTATTATAATATATGATAGCGAAATGTTGAACAATTTATGTGCACATGTCGGACACCCTGTTCCTGCATTGTTTAGTAGGTAGCAGTCCCGTGAAATTGATAGGATTGGTTCATTAAATCTTTTCTATCTATTCATTCGTTGAGTAGGCGCCCCAGTTGATTCTAAAGATGGTATTCATCTTCTCTTTAAGTGTGCCTGAGCAGTCCCTTAAAAATTCTTTCTGATACAATGGTTAACTTTAAAATAAAATAAAAATTGAGTTTGTAAGAACACTTGTCATGTAACTGTTGTAACCATCGTGCTTTGTCCTTGCAACATCAATTTTAACAAGGTTGTCCCTGAATTCAGGAGGTGGGGCACTGGCTAACAGCAACACCCAGGGGGGTGAAAATGGGAATTCCCTATCTTGTTCCCAACATCACCTTGGGGAGTTTCGGCGCAGTCACCCAGGTATCTTTTCCTGTTTTCAAATGCTTATGCGTGTAATAGTTGTTCCTGTAGTTTTTTAAAATATATCTTGTTGTACTTGCCGCAGTGAAAACCATTTAGTCTAGCTTGGGAAATGATATAACTCTGCAAGTTCTGCGTTTTGTTTGAAGAGTTTTGTTGGTATCATTGGATCTATGCTAAAGTTGTTTTAGCAAACATTTCGGTGCTTGCATGATATAGTTGGTGTGTTAGCTGAGATAATAAACTGTTCTATCCTCATACCTCCTAGCATGGTTTCCCTTTTTATGAACTAATTTGTTCAATTCATGTTTGCAGTTCAAATCTATATTGCCAGACAGAAGGGCAAAATTTGATATCTCATTAGCAGGCCCTTTAGCAGGGGGAATACTGTCCCTTTCAATGCTGGGGGTAGGACTTTTGCTATCTGTGAGTCCAGAGGCCTCTGATGAGCTTATACAAGTCCCTAGCTTGTTGTTTCAAGGTTCTCTCCTTTTGGGAACTATTAGCCGAGCAGTCCTTGGTTACGAGTAAGTTGATTCATTAAACACACAGATGTTTTCTTCATATTTTTAGGGCATTTTTTAGTTATTCACATATTGTTGGTTTATCTAGTTCACATGTTTATCCTAGAAGTGACATAGGGTCAGAGAAGGGGCTGTTGTTAATGTGAACTTTCTTAGTGTATGACTTAATATATTTTTCACTTTGGCAGCTATTACTATCTCTTATACTAAAAGATTCCAACATTTGTTTTTGCTTGGTTGCAGTGCCATGCATGCCGCAACTGTTTCCATACATCCGCTTGTAATTGCAGGCTGGTATGTTAAGCTTTTCACTACGCAACTCGTCAGATTCTCTTCCAGTGCGTGGTGGATTCTTCCATTTATTTAAAGCTCTTTCTGATACTGAAGTTGTGTTTCATTTTGAATACTGTTATATTTTCTCAGCAGAAATTTCACAATGGATATTGGGTTGCAGGTGTGGGCTAACCACGACTTCTTTCAATCTGATGCCGGTAGGCTGTCTTGATGGTGGCCGCGCTATGCAGGTTAGTAATATGTCTACACAGCATTTTGCATCTAATATGTTTCCTGAAAAGACTTAGGACTGTGCTGTTTCGTGCTGCTTGATATTGTAAGTATTTGGTTGAGTTGTACCTAAAATGCACAACCGCCGGTGATCAAGTCTTTCATTAATATAACTCACCTTTTTTCGTGTAAATCCGAATATTTTTGAATATGGATTATTTAAATATTCAATTTTAAGGCAACTAATCCTCCTGTCGAAACAATTAGCAGGATCTTACTCAAACAAGCCTCCTTATCTTAGTGAACATTTTTTTATTAATTGCGAGCAATTTTAAATTCTGGAATAGCATCTGCTTCTAGGTTGACAAAAACTTGTCTGGCAGTTGCATACGTTTCAATCCCTGCTTTTCTTTCTCTAACACGGTCTTTTGGAGACTCGCAGGCAGCATTTGGGAAAACAGCTCTGAATGTGTTTGGACTTCTGACATACCTGATGCTTGGGCTTGGAGTGGTATGCTCCTTTTTTCCTTGGAATTGCTGAACTTTTGGTATCATATCGTATATGAACAGACTCTAAATGGAATGCATTTGGACTTCTGACATACCTGATGCTTGGGCTTGGAGTGGTATGCTCCTTTTTTCCTTGGAATTGCTGAACTTTTGGTATCATATCGTATATGAACAGACTCTAAATGGAATGCATTCTGAATTTATGTATCATCTCTTATTCACCGTTGCATTGAATGTATCCAAAGCTCATGAGCTGTATGTTTGACTGCAGCTTGGAGGTCCTCTATCATTGCCATGGGGCTTATATATACTTATTGTTCAGGTACAGCTCATATGTGCATTCTTTTCAAATGCACGATCTATCTTTTGGTAAAATCAGATTACAACACCAATTTCCTTGCTGTTTCGAGTTGGGGGTACCGCAACGGTGTTCACGTGCATTCTCTCTCATACTCATTGCGGTGCATAGCATAGCGCATGTTATACGTCTTGCTGAACGTGCAGTGGTGGAATGTTTCTACAGAGATCGCCGGAGAAGCCCTGCTTGAACGATGTCACTGAAGTTGGAACTGTAAGGAAAGTAGGCTTCTCGATAGTCTTACTGCTTTCTTTGGTCTTGTTGTTACCTCTGTGGGATGGGCTTGCAGAGGAGCTGGGCATTGGCTTGAGCAATCCACTTTTCTGAAGTTTTCAGCTGGTAAAAACTTATGTAACATTTTGTCTAAAAATTTGTCAATTAAATTTGATATGTTATTTCTGTACACTATGTACCAGAATTACCCTTCTATAAACGCCTTTTGCACCCCAATTTGATCGTAATATATTTGGAGATGAATTTTTTCCTACTATGAATCATCACAGTACCATGGACTACCATGTTGTCCTCTGCGTTTTATTACTGCAATTTGTTTGAGGTCTATGAAACTGCTCTTTAGCTGTGATCAAGAGTGTAATGCCGTTGGTAGTAGGCCTCTAAACAAACTCTCACCTCACTTATGAGGAAGAATCAGACTGGCGTGCGACCAAGGTTTAATTGATCTGAAGGCATTTATAAAAGGTTAATTCTGGTACATAGTGTACAGAAATATGAATTGAAGCATATGTATCAGAATTATTTATATGTATCAGAATTACCCTTCAATTTGTTCTCCTCATGATACTTGAGTTGGTTAATAACAAGATGCAAGAAAGCAAAGAAAAGCTCCCAATGATCTATCAATGATTGACAACCCACTTTAAGTTACAATCGTACAAGCAAGTGCCATAATAATGCTCCAGGGGTGACAACCTAACTCGGCTTTTTAAAATATTTACAGGAGGCAGAATCTGCAAATTCACCCAGAGCTTCTAACATTGAGTAAACAGTTTTTTTTTTTTTTTTTTTTTTTTTTTTGCTCGACTACAATTCTACATCGCTTTGTCATAATATAAAAGATTTGTTTGTGTGATTTGTTAAAGTTGGTTAAATTTTCATATTTTTCTTCAGTAGCTATTATGTTATGGCAGATTCACATAATCTATATATTAATACTTTTAGTTATTAGCAAAGTTGAATTAAAACTTTTATTTTGTGGAAGTTTTTTTTTTTTTTTTTTTTTTTTTTTTTGGCAAGAATTATTTTTGTGCATTTAATTGTTTTCAAAGGGCCATTATTTTCTATATTGAACATTATTAAGGATGGATGTAGTTTAATTCTAAATTTTCTTAGAATACTTTGAAAATCTATATGGAATTGTTTGGAGGTGACTTAATTTGCAATAAGAAAAACAAAATTGTGTATATATAATCATTCCATGCATTGATTGCAATGATTTTGTGTCGAATAAGTTATATAAGAGATTTCTTTCTTAGCTCTTATTATAAACCATATATAGACCAATTAAAATTATATTTAGGAGACAATACACTTCAACATATTCTTATTTTCACATCCCATTGTTCATATTTGAAGTTTCTTTATTTCTTTCTCTCTCTCAAGTATTGCTTTGAAATAAAATAATTATCACCAACGTTTTATCCACAGAAAAACATCTGAAGCATAAATCATCTACCAGATCCTGATTTTAGGATTTTATGATTTAGGAACTAAATTGATTCTTGCAAACCATTTGATTTCTTTCAAATTATAAAATTTGCAATATATGTTCTATTTTGTAATTGTAGAAAATACTATATTTAGGTAAATAGACATTTATATAAGAAGGTGGTGCTTGTTCTACCAAATAGATTTATTTCACATTACAAAAATGTTTTCAAAAGCTAGATATATAGGTGTCACATCAATTTTTTATTAGATTTTTGATTTTTAGTACCATTTTTGGATATTATTTATTGTATGTAATGTAGAATGAGGTGACTGACTACTTTCTTTACAATATTTTATATGTTTTAATATATATTGTAGAAGTTATTAAAATTTAGAAAACATGATTGAAAAGCTACAAATATTTGTTTTATTAATAAGCAATTATTTCATTATTTTAGGTAGATAAAATCTAACCCTCTTTTCGTTTTGACTGTGAAGTACATAATTTAAGCTACTTTGATTTAGATTGTAGATTAGCAACTATCTTAAAGGATTTTTTTTTCAATATATATATATATATATATGTATAACCTATGAATGTATTTCCTTTATTATAAGTAAACAATAGAAAAAAAAATAAAATAATGTTAATCATAATATTTTATTCATTAATTTTTTTAGAATTATTTAGTATGTATTATTAGAATTATAGAAAAATATATAAATTAACTATAAAAGTTTGTTTTTAATTTTTTTATAGCCATTGATGTAAAATCTATTTTTTTGTATATATTGGCATTTTAGTAAAATAATCCTTGACTTCACTAGATAAATGCTTTTGGCTAAACATAGACTAAATATATTAAAGTTAGTAAAAATTTTAAGATATTATTTGATATATTATTAGATATTAGTTATATATTTAAAAAAATTAATAACATAAATAAGTAGCACCATGAAACTTTGCGACATGCTTTTATAAAATTAAGTTTTGTTAATAAAAGTTGTTGTTTTTACTTTTGGTCTAATCCATAATATTTTTGTAATAGAATATTATATAAAATTAATCTAAATAGAAAAATTAATCAATATATTAATAGTCATAGCTAACCACCTTTATTAAATAAAAGTTGAAGTTATAATTGATGCTTCAATTATAACTATGTGAAATTATACACAATTATATAACTTTTAATTTTACATAGTACCTAAACTGAATATAAGTTCAATGTCAATATAATATAATATTTTACATATTCTTTAAAAACATCATGTTTAATTGTTTATAAACTAATGCAAAACATCAATATAAAAATATATACTTATATTTTTTGGAGATGAATAAAATATTAAAAAAATAAGATTAAGTATAAATAATTAAAAAGATTCTTTTATAATAAAAAAATAGATTAATTACAACATTGCAACATTAAATTATTTATATCTTTATAAATGCAATGTATACTAGTTTAGTATTTTAATAAAAATAATTTCTTCAAAAGTATATATATATATATATATATATATTTTAAATAGTTATTTTTTCATTTAAATTTCTTATTTTTAAGTCGCCAATTAATTCTGAAGTACACAATTTATAGCAACCTTCAATTTTGGTTTTAATCTCCATCACCACCAGAGCCTCTAATTGTTTCCTCTCTTTTGACAATCTTTAATTAGCAAACATTGTTGGAGCTTTTGCAACAACAACAACTACAACCATAACAAGGTTTGATCAATTGTCATCTTATATCTGTATTTGATCCAAAGTAAGCTTATACATATGAGGCTTGAGTTCTATTTTGATGATAGGCTTGAGTTTCACTTTGTAGTGAGGTTTGATTTTATTCTTTAGAAATTGTTGGATATTATGAAGGAAACCTTAGCTTAGATTATATCATCCTTATTATGTCAGCTATGAGTGACAACATCAGTTTAGAATAGAAATAGATATGACTTCTATTAGTATTAGACAACACAAGAAGCTTATTATTGTAAGATAAGAATGTGTATATATATATATATATATATATATAGAAATTATTGCATGTATAAAAGAAAGAGGTGTGTAAATATATTTTGATTCAAATAAAAGAGATGATAATTTCTTAGAAATTTTTTATATGATATCAGAGTATGAAAAGAAGAGAGTTCATTCTTGAATAGATAAAGTATTGTTTATTGAGTACAACATATTCTTGAAAAACATGCATGAATAAAATCACTATTTTGAAAATGATTATATAACTTCAATTTAAGAGTAGAAGCTACTAAGAGCATCACAATCAATGATAAATTGTATTAGGTCTTTTAAGAAAAAGACTTCAAAAATGATTGAAAGTGAGCAATAATGGCATCTATTTGTATGAGAGGCCAACAAACTTGTTTGAAATAAATATTATTACATGTAGCAATTAAAAATAAAAGCCATGCTTATTAGAAAGAGTTTATAGCCTACTATAGAAGTTAAGAGAGAACCTACAAGCTTCCATGCACTAATCAAAGACAAGCACTATACGGCTACAATACTTTAGTAAGAAAAAAACAAAGCTCATTTGGAAATATTAATGTCTATTAGTAATGAATTTGTGGATATAATAATAGAAAAATCAGAACTTGCCAATGTATAGAAATTTCTTAAGGAGGTTTATTAAAGTGAAGATCAATTACAAATCATATCTTTAAATCCACACTTCTTTGCATTGCAATTAAAAAAAGAAAGAGATGTTGAAGAATATGTTAAATTAGCAAAAGAATACAACAACAAACTAGTCATGTTGGAAGAATTCCTTCTAGAAAAGATGTTTGTAAACTTACTTTTGAATGAATTATCAAGAAGTTAAGATACAATGATTTAATCAATTAAAAATTTGACTTTTTTACCAAATTTTGATAAATGTATCACTAGGATTTTGAATGATGCAAAAAAATTCAAAATATAATTACAACATCTGGGTGAGGTTGAAGAAATAAATTATATTACATGTCTAAGTTGTAGACAAAGACAAGGCTATAAAAGAACAGATTAAGAAGGATGTAATAGCAAAAGAAGAGAGAGAGGATAATCTTTTTCAAATGAAGGAGTACTTTATTGTTGTGTATGTGGAAAACCTAAGCATATTGTATGTAATTGCTATCATTGAAAAGTGCTAATTATAATAAAAAAGACTATCAACTTAATAATTAAGTCAAAATCTAATAAAAAAATTAATAAATAAAAAAAATTGAGGAGCCAAATCAATTAGAAGCAATTCTAGCTAAGTTTCACAAATCATAAGGTTGGTGCATTGATAGCAACTGTAGTATTTATGTAAGTGAAGAAAAAGATACTATTATGAATTTAAGAAAGATGGTTAGCAAGAATTTTACTATTGCATAAGGTGAATTATATGGAATTAAATACAAGAATGATATCAATTTGCAAATTGATTATGATGAAATAAAAGTAAGAAATATTTTGTATTCACCGTCTATCATTAAAAAAAATTATTTATTGGTTGTCTTGTAGAAATTAGAAGATCCATTTTATTTACTAAAATTTCATGTATATATATTAGAAGATATTTAAAAAATGAATATAATAGCAATAGGATACTACGACTAAAAGAATGGCTTGTATAAATTTGGTATTATAATTTTCAAAGAAAATAGAATAAATTTTATTTTTACAAATGCTAAGATACAAAATTGTCATCAATAATTTGGACATTTATATTATACATGGTTGTATCATCTCTCAAAAGTAAATAGAGTGAAAGAACTATATATGCTCTCAAATGCAAAAGATGCATGT